CAGTGACCAGCCGCATCAGCCCGGGGACTTTGCAAGGAACAAGGAGGGGCGCAGTCCATCGGGTTTGGCTTCCTGGGACTGAGAGAGCCCTTGAGGTCCACAATACAAAACAGCCTTTAGGAACATCATCTTCAGACTCCCAAGATGCCTCTCTTGAGGCAGGACTAATTCAAGGGAATTTGGAAATCAGTGTATGGCCCTGTTTGGAAGAGAAAGGAATCTTATTAGCACTGTCCACGCTCTCCCTCTCTCGTCTGACAAGGCCTAGCAAATAGGAAGTTCTTTGTGCCTAACCGGAACCTTTCCTGCTCAGAATGGAAACTGTAATTAGAGGTTGTAACTCAATACACCTACAGCACTCTCTATATCTGGATAAATATTTTTTTTTTCCCTACCAGTTTTTCAAACTTCATGGCATGCTCCTTTTATTGAGCAGCCAGGCCCGAGAGGTCAGGCTTCATGGGAGCCAAGAAGTTCTCTTTGAGGGTCAGACAGACGCTGTCGCCATGCAGTGTCCTTGGCCAGGGCTGGAAGGATGAGTGAGGCTCATGGCTCTGGCGCCTTCCAACCAATGTAGGTACAGCCTGAAGGCCTCTTCACCCCCTCTGCTAGTGGCCAGGCTGAGAAAGGAACTGTACCCGCTGCCGAAGCCTGGTTATTAGGAAGAGAACCTGGCGGGATGGGGGCAGCAGGGTGGGACCCATTCGTTGTCAGAACCTGTTTTAGTTCGGGCTTCCTGAAATCAGGCGTGTCCCAAGCTCAGCTCTGCCTGCGGAGCTCTCCTATGATCCTGACGTGGGCAGAGGGAATGTCTACTGTGCATGCGCAGCGCAGACGATGCAAAGGGCTACTGGAGCTGGGTCATGGCCGGATTCGAACATGGCCCTGGGAGAGGAGTGGAGGGACAGTACAACAGGGAATAACGGACCCAGCTGGGGAGGAGATAGAGGACTGGACTTGGGAGAGAGGTAAAGGAGACTGACTGCCTTGTAAGGGAGCTGGTGGGAGGAGCATGAGGCCCAGGGAGATGTGCCCGAGTGGCGGTGTGTAGTTAGAAGCTCCGAGACACGGTAACTGTGGTGTGGTCCTATCAGCCGTGGCCCCTGCGGCGGTAGGTTCTGCTGCCCGCGGGATGTACTTCCTACACAGCTGTGTGGGGGAAGCCACCCCTGCCCCTTTGGAATGGGATGATGGGCTATCAGGCCTTCAAGAGGAAGGGCGAGCCATGTGGGAAGAGGAGTGCGGTGAGCCATGGTGCAACCTGCCGTTCCCTTTTTCTAGAGTAGGAAGGCGGGACAGCCATGGGCTGGAGTCCCACTAACACTAACTGTGGCCTGGCTTGGGACAGTTGGCCGTGTTCCAGCAATCCGGCTAGCCCCAGTCTCTGGCTCTCCCTGTCCCTGGATGGGTGTTCTCAGCTCTCTTAATCCTGCTGTCCTCTGTCTGTCACTAGGCAAGAATGCATGGCTCTCTTGAAGCATTTGGTGCTTAATAATTTGTGGATTACAGCTAACTCCCGATAAAGATTCCCCTAATTGCTTGGCTCACCTCAGGTTCTATCATCAAAGGGAAGTGGCGAGGCCCCCCTCTCACCCTCCTTTTCTTTTTATTATCTCTTAATTAATCACTCTGGCTTTCACACTTAGCAGATAATTACAGTCTCCTGGGCACGAAGCTCATTTTCATAACCTCCTGCTCCAAGCCTGCAGTGGCGGCAGCAGCAGCAACGTGGAGGGGGTGGGAAGGGAGAGGGAGAGGGGAGAGCAGATAGACACATGCTGGAGGAAGGTGGGGGAGGGGGCAGCAAGTGAGACAGGTGAAGCCAGGGACAGGGAAGGCACAACAAGAGGGACGTGCGGATTGGTGAGGGAGCACAGAGTCAGGGCCCTGCCAGTGGGCAGAAGGCTGGTGATGCCCGGGGGCACCCTCTAGTGACAGTCTTCCTCTACTGAGCTATGCATTGTGGGGCCTTTCATTGGCTCTGGGGCGCAGCAGACGAGATGTGCATTGCCACAGAGCTTAGGGGGTCACTCAAGAGGAAGCTGAGTGAAGTCTCTGAAAAGTGGGGGGGGGGGGCAGCCGAGATGGTGGCAACATGGCTGTGACTGGGGCCCAGAGGTCAGAACTCTTCCCTTTTGGAAGAGCAGGCCGTACCCTAGGGTTTGAAGCTGTGAGGATGAACCGCCGCCATTCAATGGTCTGACCAGATGGAGGGAAAGGGCAAGCATTCTCTCACCCGCTTCACTTGGGGGCTGTGCCTGGTGGGTCCCTGTGTTCACTACCCCATTTCAGAGGTGAGAAGACTCTTCCTGGGTTCTGCTGGGTTCAGGAAGAGTGAGTAATTGGCCCAGGCTACATGAAGTTAAGTCCAAGCTGGAGAGCAGGGTGAGAGGAGAGGTGGGAGGAGGGGCCTGTGGGCCTGTGGAGGCCTCTGGACCGAAGCCTGACTGGCCGTCAGGCCTGCCTTGCACTTCTAACTCCTAGATAAATAAACGATGCACATTCAGATGGCAGATCTGAGAGGCGCAAGGGAGGGAAGTGAACCCCATGAATCCAGTGTGGAAATGGACGGGGACGCAAACCTCTGCATGTGTTCCCTGTCTGGTCCTCATTTTGAAAGTTCCTTGTCAGGCCTCCCTCACACTTACTGCTGCCTTATTCGCTATAGCAGAGAATTTCAACCGACCTGGTTGTCCACAATCAGATGACTAGATAATGAAAAACGTGTTATCTATAAAGAATAAAGTACTACTCGGCTGGAAAGAAAAATGAAGTTAAAAACTTTGCAGGAGAGTGGAGGGGTTTAGAATGTATAATATCTAAGTGAGGCCACACAGCTGCAGGGAGAAATAAACCACATATTCTGTCTTATGTTCAGAATCTAGCAAATAATATACATATATCTATACACACACAAATATTCATGTGGGTACAGTATAACCAAAGAAAAGAGAAGGTTAAATATAAGGGAATGAGAAATGCATCAATGCAGGTAAAGGGCATGAATTATGAAAGAGAATATAAAGTTAATTGGTTTTTTTTGTCCTAATTCTGTTGTGCATTTGTGTATGGGGGGTAGGTGGGCGTGGAGAAGTCCATGACACATATTAGATCCTGAATGTATAGACCTTGATGTGAAGCTTCGCAGCTTCTACTTCAAATGCCAATTCTAACTGCATAAATTCATTAAGTCGTGTAGACTTTGGGTCTGGTTCATTTTGGAGTGTGGATGTTTTTATTTATTTGCAAGTCTTTCCCATAATAAAGTTTATTTAAAACAAAACAAAAAAGCAAAGTAAAACAAAACCTCCAAACAAGTATGTGTGGCCCTGGGGGCTTCAGTGGGTCTTGGAGGAGGCTCTGCTACAGGCTTTCTTTTCCCTGAACGTGGTCTGCTGTTTGGGGTCTTCGGGATGAAATGCATGGGTTCCGACTACTTTGCCATTAACCAGCATGAAGACCTCTCCAAATCGGTTTCCTTTTTGGTAAAGGAGAGGCTTGAAGAGTTTGAGACCCTTGTGTTGAGCATAGAAAATTGTCTCTGGCGTGGTAAGGCTCCCTTAGCCAATGGCAGCTGCTGTTTCCTCCCCCTGTTATCACCATGGATGAATGCAGCTAGCCTGTGCCTAGCAAAGGGCAGTGTGGCCCATTCCATCTCTTATAAAGCTGGTAAGAGAGGGCCTTCTCCGTTTCCTGGTTGTAGGGTGGGACTAAGGGGCTCGCTCGGCACCACTTCCGGGCGTGGGTGTGCCGGTGTGCAGAGCCCCGACAGCTTCGCTGCTCTGCCCCTCTGCAGTTTCCCTTTTCTCTCCACAAACTAAGTTGTTGGGCTGAGGCGACCTCCCACTCAGAGTGTAAGGGCATCGGGAGCCTGTATAGCAAAAGGTTTGTCTTACTGAGTTGAGGAAGGCTTGCAGCTTCTGGTTCCCTGGGCACTATAAGAAAAGCTCCATTTGGAGGCACTGTGGAGATAGCACTGAACTGTGAGTACAGATGGGGATTTTTAGCCCCACTGTGCCCCTGATGGAGTGACCTTAGTTACTTGGGCTCTCTTGGCATAAATTGAGAAGGTCCTTCATTCTCTAAGACACTTTATGGGTGCACAGTTTTCTGACTGCCGTCCAGGGGGAGTTCATCAAAGACTGGCCCTGGATCTTCTGTTTTGTTTTGTGAACCAGTGTCGGAAAGGCTGGTCTCAGAGGGCCAGTTAGGGACCCAGGAGAAGCAGCTTTGGCTCAGGACCCAGAGGGGCAGCAGATATATTAATACATTTTTTAGATCTGATATGGATTGGGGGTAAGATGTGCAGGAAGTTCCCAACACGTGTGCGTGTGCACACACAGACACACATACACACGTAAACATACAGAGACATACACACTTGCATTCATGCCTACACACCATACACACACCCCACACATACTCCTACACACTCATTCACACTCCTCACTCCACACACACTCATACATCCCCCACCACAAATACAGATACACATGAATACCTACTACTGCACCCCCCCACACACATACACACACCCTGTCCTGGGGGGCAGATGGCCTGGCCTGTGTGGAATGTGGGGACCCCACCAAGGGTGTGGGTGCTTATGTGTTCATGTTGATAAAATGTTCTCCCTGAAAAAGCAGGCTCTGGCTTTTCTCTGAACTTTAGCTTTGGTCTATGAAAAGGTTTTGCAGTCTTGTGGGAATATAAACATTTGGCAGATTTCTTTCTCTGAAAGCTATTTCGCCTCTTTTCTTTTTCTGGGAATTTTAACCAGCAAGATCAAGGTCCCTCCGCCCATCCTTCCTCTTTCTCCTTTGCCCGCGACACCCAACCCCCCCTGTCCCTTCAGCCCCCCACCCACCCCCCAATGAAAACAAAGTTAATTGGTGTACGCTGGGAATGATCTTGGAGCCAGCAGAAAGGAGTGAAGCAAGCAGCCCTCCCCAGAGGAAAAACTGCAGAGAAAAGGAAGCAAACGCATCGTGGTGAAAAGTGAATTCCAGACACCGAAATTCTTTTGGTTTTAATCATCTCAGAGGGCAACCAGAGCTGAGCTGTGGGGGAAGGGAAGAAGTGAAAACCAGGGCCATCTACTCCCGGCTTGCAGGACTCTGGAAAGACTAAAAGTTTCCCGGTGGAGGCTTCTTGTTCTGCTCTGCCCCGACCCGCAGAACCTGGTGCCTGCCCCTGGGTGGAGCTCAGAGGCGCTTCCTTACCAGCCCCTCCCACTTATCTCAGTTTACAGGCTCAGTGTACTCAGTTTTAAAGTACTGACCTTTCAGTTTTCCAGCCAAATTGCAAGTTCCCCAAGGCCCAGGGTTACGTGTTGTTCAAAACAAACAGCAAACTCCGGGCTCTTTCGGAGGCCATAGCGTTCCTTCGTTGGAAAAGTGGAGGAGCCATTAAAAGTGTTTAAGGAGCTGGGTGGAGCTTTCTCCAGTAGGAAGGGAAGGCACAAGGGGCCCCAGCTGTCCCTAAAGGACAGCCTGTGGGAGAGGTGGAGGACCACAGAGGCCTGTGGAGTGTGTATGGGGGTCTTAGGTTTCCTCAGCATCAGCTAGTGGACAGCAGGGAACCTTGGGACATTGGTGGGTGGGGAAGATGGGGGTGATGTGATTCCAGAGTCTTCTCTTCTCCACCAGGGTGACTGTTCAGGTGATGGAGAGAGTCAGGAGATTTTTGTGACCAGGTCCACAGGGATGCCCATGTGAGGTCACTGGTTGCCAAGCAGTGACCATCTAGCCTCCTTTTCCTGTGTTCAGCAGCTTCTTCTTCTTCTTCTCCTTCTCCTTCTTCTTCTTCTTTTTTTTTCTTTTCCAAACTCCCCTCCCCCAGCATCAAGTTCTCTAGTTCTTTCTTTTCATCTGAAGGCAGATGCTCATGGCCACCAGCTGTTCCCCCTCCTCTTCCATCCCTTCTCCCTCTTTCTGAAAACTTTGATTCTTGGGTCTTTGGTCCTTTGCCTCTTCCTTTTTTCTTCTTCTGAGTGGCATCTCCCCATTCCTATCTCCTGATTGCCCAGTTCAGACTGGGAGTCCGACAGCTGACTGAGTTTTGACGTTCTGGTCGGCTCTCCACCTGGACAAAGCTGCTTGCTGTTTCTGGGCTTCAGGTTGCTCCATGGCACATGGGGAACTTGCCAGGTACTGCCTGTGATCCAGAATGAACACGCCCTTCCTTTATTTCTGGAAAAAGGAGGAAGATGGAATTTGTATGCAGGACACCTCACCTCTTCACAGTAGAAGACCTGTGCCATCCGCACAGAGGGGCAGTTGAGACCACATTGCTAATCTCAGTACTGCCTTTGAGGTGATTTTGCTGTTCCCACGTGGTCTGTCAGTCTTCTTGTTTTGTGGGGTCTTAATATTTAGTGGTACGGAGTGATAAAGGAGACCAGGAGGCCTGGGGTTCTGACCGACCTTATACAAGTCCCTTTCCAGCTAGAACATGAGGTTTTTGCCCCCACTTCCCCCGACCCCAAGAGCAGAGAATATAGGTGACGACACAGTCCTTCTGTCTTGGTCTTGTATCTATTTATTCCCCGGTACCTGATATCAACACTAGGAAATGCATGTTAGTACAAAATGTGAATCTAGGGGTAAAGAAATGTGGGTTCAGAACTTCACATTGACTTTTAAGTGGATATAGCTGACCCTTGTTGGGGGGCCTTTCTCTGCACTGAAAGCCAGTGGCACCCCCCACTCTAGGTGTGACAGAAAATGAGCCTTCAAACATTCCCAGAGTGCCTTGTGAAGCAAAGTTGCCCCAACCTGAGGACCATTGAGCTTGCATGAGAAGGAGCTAGACCAAGAAAAAAACCTGGCCTCCCAGTTATGGGGTTTCCAAAACTGCCACATGTCTCTTCCTCCCTTCATATATCCTTGATCAATATTTCATAAAATTGAGAAATTTTAAGTTAATGATAATGAGGAAATGTTTTGTCCTCTCATCCATTTTGGAAGTGGTAAGCTTTCTGTTTAAGCCTTGATTCATCTCTCAATCCAAGGTTTGCATTAGGAAGGTGGCAAGCCAGGATCATGTGGTACCTCATGGATGAGGCTCTGATGCCCTGTAGAGCTGTTGGAAGATCTACCATACCCTTGCTTTCATCGGGGGATAACTGACTGCTGGGGATGACAGATAATGGTCTCAGATGTTTGCCATTATCTTGCCTTTTTACCTGGCACCCTCCCTTCCATCCCTAAAATATCTGCTGAGCCATCACCCAGGCCTCGGGCACCTTTAGAGTACAGTTTGAAAGCCAAGATTTCATCCAACCCCTGAATGATATGAACAGAATGAGAAGATGGAGAATAAGGAACTCAAGACCCCAGAACTGCAGGTTCCATAGCCTCTCTCCCTTCTCAGGAGCCACCACGGCCTAGAAAACTGCCTCCTCCAGTTCTCCACAGACTACCCTGCTTTACCGTCCCTGTGCAGATCGGAAAGTCCTGATGGGTGTCGGTTGCGTGGTTGGTAGTATAAGGAGCATGCTGCCCATGTCTGTTGAGGTCCAGAGAAGAAGGATGTGATAATATCCTAGATATATCCCAGAGAACATAGGATGACGCTGCCCTGGACTGTCCGTAGATCCCCTTCCTTCCCCCAGATAGGCTCATACTTTTCAACCTTTGTCCCCACGCCCCCTAAGGGGCCCAACTCCTGCTGTCATGGCAACCGGGAGGTTAAGAGCAGTTTGGAAGCCCAAAGATATAAGAAGAGGGCTTAGACAGGACAGGGGCTGATGGGAAGAGGAAGTGATAGAACTTGATAAAGAGACAGCCGAGTGGGAAAGCAGAAGGCAGCCAGGAAGGTGAAGAAGGCAAGAGGAAACGAGAGACAAACCTCATCCCTAGAAAGAGAGGGAAAAAGGGGGGTCGGTGGTGGTGGAGGAGAAGTCTCAACTTTTATTTAAAATCTGAGAGCCGTTATATGCCTGGAGTTGTTGCCATAGCAACAGCACAGAAAAGGAGATAGCTTGTGAGGGGGGAGGTGGAAGGAGGAAGATGATTCAATAGAGGTAAATGTTTAAAGACAGGAACAAAAACCATTTACAGATAATTAAGTAACGCACTGCGGGTTCTTTGGTCCTGCCTGTGTCGGGGGACTGGCCTACAATCTGGCCTACTTCTGCCCGCTGCCACCCGTCTTTTCCCCATCCCCTGCTCACCAAGAAAACTTCAAAGAGGCAGCCGGGAACACCAGCCACAGCCACGCCACGTCTGTCTCGTCCTCTGCCCTGTGTAGTCCCGGCTCCTCAGAACAAGGTGGAAAATAAAGAAGAGAAAATCTGCCTGCAGGGAAAGCCTGCCCCAGCCTTTGGTGGCAGGGTTCTTGCCTTGTCCTGCCAAAGGTCCAAAGGAGCAGCCTTTACGCCTAGAGGCATTGTTGGGGCTGTCTATGTTAGCATCACCTTCTAATTCCTCTGCCAATGCTCACCTCTAGTCCATTTCTGGAAATACTCTCAAGTTTGTCCTTAGGGAGCCGGGCACCAGGGCAGTGAGCTGTGAATCAAAACCAAATAGCTTTTGCCCCTTCGAGATCTGCCCTGACTGAGCTGAGTGTTGGCCTGTGCCGCCAGCGTTCTGCTTTAGTCTTGATCACCCTTATGATAGGGGTGTGGCCCAGGATATGGCTCTACATGAGAGTGTCTTTTCATGAGGACCCACTGGTGAAAGTTCTGTAGTGGTACTTCCAGTTAGTTTTTATGTATGCTCCGCCCCTCCCCCCCCACAAAATGTCTACATTGGGGCTGGAGAGATGGCTCATCAGTAAGAGCACTGGCTGTTCTTCCAGAGGACCTTCGTTCTGTTCCCAGCATCCACATGGTGGTTCACAACCATCTGTAACTCCAGCTTGAAGGGATCTGGTGACTTCTGACCCCTGAAGGCACCATGTACTCATGTGGTTCACAGACACCCATGCAGACAAAACATATATACACATAAAATATTTTTTAAGATGTGTAAATTATGTCAGGAATTTTGAATTGTTTGTTCTTTGTATTGGCTGCTTAAAATCTTGGACTGACCCTCACAGGTCATCTCTGATGAGGCTTTTAGTACATCGTCTCTCTCTCACACACACAGAGAGAGAGAGAGAGAGAGAGAGAGAGAGAGAGAGAGAGAGAGAGAGGAGAGCTTTACTGCAACCTAAGTGATTTCCCCTCTCCTAATCTCCACTATTCCCACTCACTATTGTCCTCTTAGTTTATTTTTTATATTACTGACCAGATGTGTCTATTTATGTTGCCTCAAATCTTTTATGGAGCAAATAAACGAATTGAATGAGTTAAGCTGTATAACACAGCCTAGTGCCCGGCAAGTGGTCAGAAAGCAGAGAAAACGCCAACTACTGTTTCATGGGAACGAGTAATAGGAATAGGCTCTAGCCTTGCTTTAGAGGCTCTGTGAAGACGGACCAGACTTCAGAGAGCTCTCCAGACTGAAGGCCACCTCAGTTAACACCCAGTTGGACTGTGTAGAGGGGGGTGCCTCGATGTTCTTAATGCCCACTACCCCGATTTCTCTAGTCTTTTCCACACACACTGTGGAATGCATGGTGTCGGTAGGAGGACATTATCCAGGTTTGTTTGCTTTTTTGAATTGGCTTGGATGCTAGTTAAGCAAGCTTCTAATTGCTCGCTCATACCCAAACATTCTGGGTGTAAAAGCCTGCCTGGGATAAAGTTTTTTTTTTCCCCATGGATAATCCTCAGGGTGAGAACCTATGGATCCCTGAAAGCTGACAGCACTTCATTGATTCTGGTTTTGGTGTCTCCAGAAGACAGAGTAGACAGAAGAGCTGCAGCAGCCGCGCCTGTTTCTCAGCGGGGAGCCGCCTGCCTTAAGGGGCACTGGCTCTATCTAACTCAGTTTCTTTTTTGTCCCTTGGTTCCCCACCAATCTCTCATTTCCTCCTGGGGGCGGGGGCAAGGAGGAACTGTGGAGCCCTGGTCGTTGAATCTCACCTTGGCTCCTCAGTGCTGCCAGTGAGATCCTGGAGGTGTGGTGGGTAGACCAAGTCTTGCCAGCTTTCCTGTGTGCTATGGATGGGAATCCAGGTGAGAAGCTGCTCGGCGGATACATGCCACGAAGGGCATCTCATCTCTCCTTTCCTAAAGGAGTCTGCAGGCCTCCCTTGTTCTCCATTCCTTATTTTGCCTCCCCTCTCCTTTTTGTTTGGGGTGGGGGGAGGCATGTCTTCTTTTCCTTTCACATTGCAAGGCCTTCCTTTTTGTTTTTATTTAAGTAGGTTTTTGAGGAAGAAAATAATTTTATAGTTGGTGCCCACTCCCATATTTTTTTTTATTTGTTTTTATTCTTAGAGGAAGGCTTTTATATAGCACAGGCTGGCCTTGAATTTGCCGGGCCTGTACCCACCTCCTCTATTGCCCCCTCCCCGAATTCTTTCCCAGCTACTTACAGGAGAGAGAGAAAAAAATATCCGGCCCTCTCAGTCTGAGCTATTTGACTTAGAAGACAAAAGACCCTTCAGAATTAAGAGAGGAAGGGGGAAAGGAAAGGGTTAAAAAAAGATTTCAGTTAAAAAATCTTCATCAGGGTCAAAAACCTGACAGGAAAGCTTTGTTTGAAGGGAATGTGAGGGCAGGGTAGGGGTGGAGGAGCTGGCCATTGGCCCTCAAAAGGCAAATATCTTGAGATGGCGGAAATTTGTAGATCAGTGGACATTCCCATTGAAGTCGTGGAAGGGCTTCTGAGTCTGGTTGGTTCCTCTGAGACCCGCAGAGTGTTTTGAGAGCAAAGACTGGGTGGGAAGGGAAAGAGAAGCAGGAAGCTGCCATTTTTAATTCCATGCAGCCTCAGAATTGTCAGGAGTCTGCAGAGATTCCAGGGGTTTCGAGGCCTTGAGGGCTGGCTGTCTTCCTAGCCTAGGGTTTGTGGAGTGGGAAAGAGAAGCCAGTGAGCAGAGCTGAAGTGTGGTAAGAGTCGGGCGAGGCAGCATATGTGGGCAGCATATGTGGGCAGCATATGTGGGCAGCATATGTGGGCAGCATACTTGGGCCACCATTGCCTCCAAGGCCTGACATGGGTGGCACTGGTGCTCTGGGCAGAGAGGGAAGGAGCTGAGTCATATTCCAACTACTAGCATACCTAAGACCCTGGGCAGACAGGACTCAGGGATGTCCTCTGATTGGGTAAAGACAGTGGAGGGCTGCATGAAGGATTGTTGACAGTTATCAATAGTGAGACAGCTAGCCAGGTCTGGTTCACACAGCCAGCACTCCAGAGGCAGAGGCAGGAGGATCATGAGTTTTAGAATAGCCTTTGCTATATAGTGAGTTCCAGGTAAGCTAGGGAGAGACGAGGTGAGCCGATCAAACTGAGAAAGTGCTCCCTGGAGGACTCTGGATTGCAGGGATCTTTAGAGTCCAGAGAGAAGAGTGGAGGGGGGTGGGGGGGGCAAGATTCTAGCATCAGGAGGCCACACAGATGCTGAGCTCCCAGCAGGGTCTGCAAAGGGCACGGCTTGGCCAGTTTAAGAACTATTTGTGGCAAATTTTTAAACCCCAGGCTGCTTTTGCCCGAGTACCTGGAATCCAGCCACCAATTGATATGTCGAGACAGCGTATGAACTGATTTTAAGGTTAGCCTGAACAAAACCTAAGTAGAAGAGAAATCTGCTTCTGCTGCTCAGCTGCGGCAGCACCCACGTTTCCTATGGTCCATGCCCTTCTGACTCTGTCTACAGAGAGGTCCATAGCCTCTACCCTGCCTCTTAGAAGACCCCCTAGGCTGACACACTGCCAGGAGCAATCCTGTGACCCACTCCCTGGAACAGACACTGCAAGGGCATGAATCAAAGACACCAACACATGATGAGCATGTGGGCGCAGGGCGAAGGACAATAGACTGGAGAGGGTGGGACAAACCTCTGAGGGGTGCCTTAACTCTTGTAGTGCTGGGGGAGAAAAAAAACACTGAGTTGCAACCGCAGAAAAACAAGATGGCTTCAGGAAGGATTACCAGCTCTGTATCCTGTACTGTTAGCACTCTCTCTAGGCAGGCAAAGGAAAAGGTGTGAGCGACTGGAAGAGAACGGAGGGAGGGAGGGACTTTGGGCACAAATGTCTCAGCCACAGACCGGTACACGGTACCCACGCAGTCCTCTCGGCCCCTCCACCAGCTTTTCACTCAGCGCGCTGTGGTGGAGGAAGGCAGGGATGGAAACTGGAGGCCTAATTGCTAGGTCTCTCTCAGCTCTTCCAGAGAGCACAGGGCAGGAAATTCCTCAGATTCCAGGCTTGTAGGATCATTGCTGAGTGTTAACCGCAGAGCCAGGGGAAGAGGCTAGAGGCAAAGAGAGCTGCCTCCTCTCCGGCTTCTTTTCCCTTTGTTTTAAAACGGGCTCAATTAAAAGGGTTTGTGGAGGGGCTGCTGGCTGGAACAAAAGCCCCAACTGTAACGGTCCCCGAGAAAAAGTCCCAGATCTGGGAATCCCAGAAAAATTAGTGCTGAATTGAGTAATTTTGAAGTTTGAAAATAGACTGTTGTGGACTCGGACAGGAATTTGTTCCCAGGGTGAATTTTTTGGTGGTGGTTGTTTTTTTTCCCCCCAGCTCTCAGTGAGTGGGAAGGAACTGGCTTGAGAAGAAGCTCTAAGAGCTCCTTGTGGAGAGAGATAAGGATGGCCGTGTGGAGCAAGCAGGAGGGGC